CACCTATATATTACTTCCTTATACCTAGTGTTTTTCTTTCTGTGCTTCAGGTTCACTGATCACTTCTACAGTATCTGAGATGGTGTTATGCTCATCTAGTGAATTTCTATTTCAGATATTGTATTTTTACCTACACAATTTTCATTTTTTCTTGTCTACATCTTCCATTTCTTTCAAAAAATATATATGTATATATATATTTTTTTTCTTTAAGCCTTAAACAACAATAGCTGTTTAAAACTTGTTTTCTTCTTATTCTATCATCTCTGTCATTTTTAGGTCTCTTTCTAATTACTGATTGTTCTCTTGGTTATGCATATTTTTCTGTTTCTTTGCACTTTTAGAAGCTGTACATTGCAAATATTATATTGTTGAGTGTAGTTTGTTGACTTCCCTTAAAAAGTGCTGAATTATGTTTTAGAAGGCAGTTCAGAAACTTGCAGATCAGCTTGGTCATTCTAAGGCTACTTTTTACATATTTTAGGGCATGTCTAGAATAGCCTATACTGTAGGATTAGTTCAGCACTATACTACTTCTAAGGCACCTTTCTAGAGTCTCTACTGAATGTTCCAGGCCTCTCCATTCTGGCTTTTGCACTTGTTTCATTGGATTTAATTCTACCCACATACGTGTTAGTATTCTAACAATGCCAAAGTCTCCTGAGGGAACCCCTATTCAGATATCTGTAGTTCTTTATCTACATAGTTCCATCCTATTTAGTCCCGTTTCTTGCAAATTCTAGTCACTTCAACCACCCAGAATTCTAATCTCTATTTTCTCAACTCTGCCAGATCACTGTGGTCTGTAAAGTGCCTACAGGCTAAAAGCCAAAGTGGTCATAGGGTTCACCTCTTTTGTTTCCCTTCCCATAGAGATCACAGACCTGAACTGACTCTCTTCCAATGGCCGAAAGCGATTGTTTCATATATTTATTTTGGCTAGTTTCTAGTTTATTTTATGGGTAGGAGGCAAAAGTGCCAGGAGCAGTAATATGGCTGGAAGTGGAAGTTCACCCTATGTAATTCAGACATACAGTAAAACTTGAGAAATGTATTAATTTCTTAGGGCTGCTGTAACCAAGTTCCAGAGATTAAGTGGTTTCTACAACAGAAGCGTATTGCCCCACAATGTCTTCTCTCTGTGCATTCCTGTGTTCCAATTTCCCTTTTTATAAGAATATCAGTCATATTTTTATTAAGACTCATTCTAATGGCCTTACTCTACCTTGGTAAAGCCTCTATTTCCCAATAACATCATATTTTGAGATACTGAGGGGAACCAATGACAAAATTTAGATTCAAATCTCAGTCCTTCTTCCCTGGATAGTATGTCCTTTCCATCTACTTGCCACACACAAGACCCACTTTAGCCTTATGGGCATTTGCATCTTTGTTTACTCTGATGTGTGCCTTTCAATTGAGACACAAATTAGTATCTGTAAACTGTGAAATTAGAAAGTTGGGTTGTTTCAAAAGGAGAACAATGTATACTGTTTACCCTCAGAGATGGTATTCGATGATTTCTCTAGCAATTCCATAAAAACTAATAGACCCATGACCTAAAAACACCTTCCTAAAGGAGTTCGGTTTAACCTCTATCCAGTTCTAGAAATGAGCACAAACACTTTTCCACAAGGTACAGGATGTAACAGGTTTTTGTTGTTGGAGATGGTAATGATTCAACTTGGTGCCTGTGACAGGAAAGGCTGATGGGAAATGGATCTTTTGCTGGTCAGAGCTGGAAAAGTCCTCAGAGCTCATCATTGATAATGGTGGGATATGGGCTCCAGAAGGGCAGACATAGCCAAGGGTAAGTGGTACTATGGCCAAAAGTCACATTGCCATTTTATAAGTTACTTTAAAATTGATAATATTCTGCCATCCATTTCTATTGGTTCACCACAATAACACTATTTAAATTGTTGTTATGTATTTATGACAGATGATAGGACTGAGGTTTTCAGAGTCAAGTTGCTTGTGCAAACGTGCAGAAAACCAAAAGCAGATTCAAAATTGAAATGCAGGTCTCCAGACTTTCAATTCAACACCAACCATCCTTTTGCTTCTCTGAGTTTTAGTTGTAGGTACTTGTTTGCATAGTGATTCTGCTTTCTAGATGCACTTGACCTAGGTTCATCTTCATTTCTCTTCTAAACTGTAGACCTCACCCTTTTCCAACTTGGCTTGCCATGTCACTTATGACCTTCTCAACAGAGGGGGCCTGAGGAGAGAAGGTGAAGTGCAGCACTCCTACATTTATCAAATGTTAACATTTCGCCAAGAAGAAGAGTGGGCAGCCCTCACATCCTCACATTCTCACACCCTCTGTTCCAAACTACTTACACATTATACACAATAGCCAAGGTATGGAAACAACTGAAATGTACATAAACAGGTGAATGGATAAATAAAATGTGGTATGTACATGCAGTGGAGTACTATTCAGCCTTAAAAGGGAAGATCATAGCATTTGGTACAACCTGGATGGACCTGGAGAATATTATACCAGGTGAAATAAGCCATACACAAAAAGAAAAATATTGTATGAGATCACTTATATGTGGAATCCATTTTTTAAAAATACAGGGAGATAATGAAACAAAAGGCTTAGGAGGAAAGAGGGTGATGCAGGTCAGAGGATACAAACTAGCAGATAGAATTAATAAGTCTAGAGATTTAATGTATAAAATGAGGACTGAAGTTTAAAATTTTATTGTATTAAGGATTTTTGTTAAATAAGTAGAATTTAGCTGTTCTTGTCAAAAAGAAAATAATGATATGAGATGATAGATGTGGTAATATGCCTCACTATGGTAACAATTTAAATGGTGTTATTATGGTGAACCAATAAGAAATGGATGGCAGAATAAAGTAACTTATAAAATGGCAATGTGACTTTTGGCCATTCGAATGTTTTCTTTGTAGAAATTTCTGTTTAGGTCTTTTATCCATTTGCTAATTGTATTATTTGTTTTGTGTGAATAAGTTCTAAGAATTCTTTATAAGTTTCACATATGAAACCCTTATCAGACATGTGGTTTGCAAATATTTTTCACAGCTCATAGGTGGCCATCTAATTTGTTGATTAATTCCTTTACTGTGCAGAAGTTTTTTCTTGTCATTTATCCATTGAAGAGCCTGGGCCTTTGACCTGCTTAGCAAAGAGCTCCAAGGTTGCTTTTTTTCTGTTTTGGCATAATCATAGCTCTTAGGTAGAGATGTAAGAACCTAAAGGAGGCCATGATGGTGATTTTGCATAATTTAGCATTAAGATTGCATGACATCCTATTTGAGTTCCTGTGTGATTATTCTTTTTCTTTTCTGCCCACACACCAGCCATCCAGCTCTGCTGAACTACTCACACAGAGCTTTTCCATCTTGATGCCTGTGCACAAGCTTCTTTCTCTGCCCTGCCAGTCTCAGTTTAGCTACCACTTCTTCCTGGAAGCCTCCCCAGACCACTGATCTCACAGAGATGTCTCTTTTGTTTGTTCTCATAGCATCTTGGTTTTCCCTATCATAGCACTTATCTCACTGACTGAAATTGTCTGCTTATCCATCTGCCTGTTTCCCCTGCTCAAGACTGTGTGCGGTAGGGCCTGTGGCTTGCTCAGCTTGGCTTCCCCAGTATCTATCTGCACAGTGTCCTGCATATTAGTAGGCTATTGAAAGTTTCACTGTTGAGTGAATGACACAAAAACTTATCTATCATTCTCCCTCTTGCACTGAGAGCAGTTAACATGAAATTCGTTTCTGTGCTTAGTTCAACATCCTCTTTTGGAACCATTTTTTGGTAAATGCAACAGAGTTCCTCTTCACATTTCCCCACCAAAGTGGCCTTTGGAAAGTTTGGGGTACCTCAGCCCCTCATGGATACTTTTGTCAGCAGGCACACTTGACTTATTCCAACTCCACTTTGCCCTAGTTGATGTCAAAATCCCAAGTTTCCCACCTTTTGTGCTTCTAACCCCAGAGCAATACAAGTTTATTAAGTCATTCATTTTTCTTTGCCTCTTGGGTAATCTCCATAAGCATACAAACATACTATTATTTCTTTTGTCTTAAAAACATAGACTTAATCACACTGCCTTTTCCATCCCCTGAGGGCCAAACCTCTTCTCAGAGCTTTATATTCCTATAAAGGCAGAACCAAGTTGGGGTTCAACTGCCCTAACCCAACATAGAGTGGCTGACCTCCTTTTGTTCACTGCCTCTTGCTATGACCTCAAAAGGAATTTTTGTTCTGAGGCATACTCATGGGTCTTTTGTAACAATTGACCTTTGCTTTCACTTTTCATTGCTTCTTTGGATTCTCTGCCACCTCAGATCTCATGTTGTCTGAGCAGGGAGGAAGTTGAGAACACTCCAACTGTCTTTTTCTTTTTCCTGGGCCTCTTGGTAAGAGCTGGTGGGCTTATAAAAGTGTCAGGCACAAATGAATCTAGAGATACAAAAGACTTCCTGTCCCATTGGTCACCATGCCTTCTGGCAGAACCCCGTACTTCCTGCTGTCACACATGCCACTGCATGGGAGAGAAAACCACAGACCTATAAATCTCTCCCCTGGCATTTGCCAACTGCAAAATTGAGTTTCTAGTTGAAGAAAGACTTGCTGTTGGTCTGTTACCCTTCTCTATGCCCAATTCCCAATTGAGGCTACAGCAGACAGTAAGCACAATCCATGCAGGCTGGTCCAGTGGCATATAATGAGAGAGGGGTTCCTAAATGTAAGAAGATGGGGAACTCAAAAAGGCTCTTTACTTCCTTCTCCAAACTATGGGAATGAATTGCATTGCTAAACTCTCCAAAAGTGACCCTTCCTCAAAAGCATACAATAAAGCAGACATAATACAGGCCCTCGTCCTTTAATACAAAGTGTCTCATTACTGAAATGGCTGATTTGCTTCTTTCCTACTATCCTGTCACAACATATGTTCTTGGCAGAGTCTGAGAAGCAGGAGAAGTTAGTCTGGTAATTCCTTGTTGAATTGCTTCTGCAGGCCTGGCGCAAACGCTGGTTTGTGCTCCGGCGGGGACGCATGAGTGGCAATCCTGACGTCTTGGAGTACTACCGGAACAAGCACTCCAGCAAGCCAATACGTGTGATAGACCTCAGCGAGTGTGCTGTGTGGAAGCATGTGGGCCCCAGCTTTGTACGGAAGGAATTTCAGAACAATTTTGTATTCATTGTCAAGACTACTTCCCGTACATTCTACCTGGTGGCCAAGACTGAAGAAGAAATGCAGGTGTGGGTGCACAGCATCAGTCAGGTCTGCAACCTTGGCCACATGGAGGGCAGTGCAGGTAAGAGCAGAGTTGGTGTCCTGTGTGCTAAGGGGGGGCCTGGGATGCTGTGCCCACTGGAGAAGCTAATGCAGAAAAATGTTGAAAGGTGCCAAGCCTTTCTCCTTGAGGGAACTTTAGCCAATTTATATCAGAGGTATTCCTACTTAATTCTCTACAATAGTGGAAATTGCCCTCTTTCACCTAATTCTAGGATTCAGGTCCAAATATGAAAGGCAGATCCTGTCCATACACTGAGCATTCCAGGTCTCTGCAGGGAAAATAAGCTATAAGTTTTCTCTGAGCCATTTCAGGGCTGTGGAAGAAATTGACCCAGGAGGAGCTCCCCCACACACACATGCACACACATTACCCTTCCCATGTAATATGCCAGATATAACCTAGGATCATAATTCCCTTCCCGTCATAGATTTTGTTGTTGAGCTCTCACTTATTGATCCATGCTCTGATCCTGAAAATATGTTATTCAGAATTTCCTTTTAGCTTCTTTGTCTAGTAGACAAAATTTTGCCCCTAAATCCTCTGGTCTACAGTTGCTTCAACATTTCAGTAGTCACTTTCACCATTTGCTTCTGAAATATCTACATTGTAACACTAGGTGGCGATAGACAGTCAGAGTTAGGTTTTACTCTACCTCTACAGCCTTCTCCCTAAGGACAAAGTCCTTTTCTTTTCACGAATTGGAAAAGCTTATTTATTGAGTGATTCTATTGAATAACATTGGTGAACTTTGAGAGTGCTCAAGTAACAGGAAATGAAATGATGGTAAGTTCTTTATCCTTGGTATAACAGGTAAAGCTTACTTGCAAAGTCTGTTTCACATCCAAGAGTTACCCTAGTGACCCAAGAGGAACAGGAGTTAAGTTAGATACCAGACAAAAATCAGAAAGCCTGCCCTGGTGTGAGGTTCAAGGAAGCCGGAAGCCGGAAACCTCCTCTTTCACACTTTTGGCTTTTATGAGAATATGAGGACAGAGTCCACTTCATTTGAAAACCATGGCAGAGTGACTTTCTTGTGGCTTTTCACATATAATAATCCTCTTTTTTCTGTGGGAGGTACATTTCAAAGACCCCCAGTGGATGCCTGGAATTGCAGATAATAGCAAATCATACACAAACATACATGCACCATTTTTCCTATATATACATACACAAGTTTAATGCCTTTTCCATCTTTTTTAAATTTTTATTTTTTAGTTGTAGTTGGATATGTTACCTTTATTTTATTTATTTATTTTATGTGGTACTGAGGATCGAACCCAGTGCCTCACACATGGTAGGTGAGTGTTCTACCGCTGAGCCACAACCCTGGCCCCGCCTTTTCCATCTTAACTAAGCACTTATATACTATGATCATGACCATAACTTTTGCAGTTTGAGGTGCAACAGCAAAACTAGCACAGATTCATGTTCCAGGAGCACAGAATGATATGATACTTTATTATACTATTCAGAATATCCCACAATTGAAAACTTACGAATTTTGTATTTCTGGAACGTTCCATTTAATATTTTCAGACCAAGGTTGACTGCGGGTAACTGAAACTGCAGAAAGTGAGGGCTGGGGATGTGGCTCAAGCGGTGGCACACTCGCCTGGCATGCGTGCAGCCCGGGTTTGATCCTCAGCACCACATACAAACAAAGATGTTGTGTCTACCAAGAACTAAAAAATAAATATTAAAAAATTCTCTCTCTCTCTCTCTCTCTCTCTCTCTCTCTCTCTCTCTCTAAAAAAAAATCTGCAGAAAGTGAAACAGAAAATAAGGAGGAATGACTGCATAGAATTTGGTTTTGTCTTAAGCAACTATAGAATAGTCAACACACTGTGTGTGTCCTGGCTAGGAGCTCTGTTAAAATGTCTTTGCATATTAAGTTATCTTATCCCCTTACTGGTTCTATGGTATATGTGTTATCATGTCCACTCTACAGAGAAAGAAACTTGGAGAAGGCAAATTGTAACTTGCTCAAAGTCCCAATGGCCAGGTAGTACAGCCTAGAGGCAGTTCAGGGTCACTCTGACTCAGGAATCCTGCACTACCAACTTGGCTCAAAGGAAAAATAAATGTAGGCTTTCATTGGTCTTTTCTGATCTGAAGGTCTTATTGGCTCCTGATCCAAATTCATCTTGAGGGCCATATTCTTAAGTGATGGAAGAATGTTAGACTCCTTGAGTAACACAGGCTTTTGCAGTTATCACAACAACCTGTTTTGTCACTTCCCTTTACATCTAACAATTATTAGCATGATTCTTAATGTAAATGTTATTTGTCTCCTCTGCTAGAATGTGAACTCCAGTAAGGGCAGAGCCTTTGTCTCAGCTGCTTGATGAGGGTTAGAACAATTCTGGTCACGTAGTATATGCAATAGCAGGGATTATAGATAGATAGACATAAGTACATACATGTATAAGTGCATATGTAAGTATATACATATAGATTTGTTATGCATAAATACATATATATGTATATATGTATATTTGTTGGGTAGATAAACAGTGATGCAGGGCTGCTGTGTAGGGCCATAAAAAGCAGTTTATAGACTATCTGCAGAATTTTAGGCCAAGAATACTTGGGGTTTTTTTTACTCTTAATGGATTCAACACTTTATTCTTGGAACATTGGCCTTCTTTCCCAGACATTGTTTATAGCTTGGGGAAATGGCCTCTTCCATCAGTACAAACACCAGCTGTGATTTGCATTTTCTATTTGGATTCTTAGATGCTGTTTGAGAAATTTCAATTGAATGTTATAGCCATTCTTAAAACACTAACCTGGGAAATGATTTAATCCAGCAGATTCCATGGAGAGCCTCTCTTACATGCCCTCCTCTCTCCAACCATCCTCTGCCAACTCCCTTCATACTGCCCATGCTGCCAGCTCCTCCTTGCCAAGAGATGAACCAAACACTAATACCATAGCCACTGAGGAAACCAGAAGTGAGTCAGAGTTCCTCTTCCTTCCTGATTATCTGGTTCTGTCCAACTGTGAGACTGGAAGACTGCACCATGCCAGGTATGCTTACACCTGGGCCTCTGAGCCCTATCTCCTAGTATGCTGTCCTCTGTTCACAGAGCCCACACTGCCTTCTCCTGCAGAATCTGTCTCTGAGATATACTCAATGTGCCTTCAAATCAGTCTGTTTAGTGGAAGTGTTTTCTAGTGGGTGTGTCTGCTCTCACCTCTCTTCTTGCCAGTGCTAAGGTACAGATCACTATCAGCCACTATGAAAGATGAAGCATGCCAGATACTAAACAAAATGACTCATACATTTCAGCATTGTGGCTTTCATTTCTAACCTTACATTTTCATATGTATCTGATGCTTACAGGATGAAAAAAATAATAAACTTTTTTTTTGCAACAAAGTGTTGCTGCAAAAAAACTGAGCATTTTAGAGGGAATGTAGCTCTACAAGTAGAACAAAAGCTGGTATTGGAGGAGTGGGAATGAGGCTAGCATGGGTTTTGTGGTGGGTGGTTGGCTACATTTCAGTCAAACTTAACATGTTTTTCTTCCCTTAGTCTTCCCACCAGATGTGATAGCTGGTCAAACTCAGACCGCTCACTGGAACAGACTTCATTTGATGATGTTTTTGTTGATGGCCTGCAGCCACTACCCTCCAGTAACTTGGTCCATCTCTCACGCCATGGGAATGGATCTCAGGAGGCATCTTCCATGAGGTCCCAGGCTATTATGATCTGGAATAGAGAAATCAATGGGCCTTCCAGGGACCACTTGTCTTCTTCCTCATTGCTGGAAACATCCTTAAATTCCACCATTCAGGTAGAAAAAAGCCAACTTTCCTTGCCCTGCGCAGCAAAACAACTAGATGTATCCAACACTCCACCTCCCCGCCCTCCTAAACCAAGCCATTTCTCTGAACGGCGCCAAGAGGAGCAGCACCTGTGGAGTGGGCACAGCACCAGCAAGAAACCAGAATGCACTCTTGTGCCAAGAAGAATCTCTCTTTCTGGTTTAGACCACATGAGAACCTGGAAAGGTAAGAGTCAGATCCTAAGATTCAGGTACAGAGAAAAATTTGGACTTCCCTGCCTGGATCCTTGTCACACCTTGTGTCCATATGAGGACTTTTCCCATTTTCCTTGCTCAAACCAGTCTTATCTCCTAATGGAGACCTTGGAGGAAGTGCACAGCTGGAGGGCAGCACTGTCCTGATTCTGGGTCCCCGACCTCCTCCTTTGAATTTGGCTTCCAGAGATATTTAGATTGTCATAAAAGATAAAAAAAAAAAAAAGCTGGAGCCCTGGTCCCTTGAGATTGGCTTGCCTATGTGAGTCCTTGACCATGTAGTAGGCCTTCCACCTGAGACTGAGCTTCTGATGTTTGTTTGGGTCACTTGGGTACACACTTGGGGTCTCTGTAGCCTTCAGAAGGTGCTCAATGCAAGTCCACACAGAATCCTCAATGTGGCTTTTTGGTACCTCTTCTTTACTAGCTTCTCTGGATTTCTTCATCTTCCTGCATGAACTGACCAACCTAAACCTTTCCTTCATGTCAGCCCATCTCTCAGACAGACAACAAAAACTAACTCTCACTCTTTCTCTCCATTTATCCAAATATAATCACCCACACACCACACTATCTACCAAGGCTATGTTTTAAAGGAATTACAGAGAGTTCAAAGAATGCAAATTCATTTTGAAATCTCTCATTCTGACTGAGGACGTAAGTCACTCTGACACAGACCTCCTTCAGGGTTCCTAGAGATGTGATCATTACACAGTTCACTTCCTTCTGACAATGCCTGTTAAATGGATATATGCCAATCACACAACAGGTCTTAATGTGCTAATGTGTGAACAGTGACAAAAGTAAAAATGAAAGAATAGGTAAGCATATGTTATAATGTGAAATGAATAAAGTCAGTAGAATAATGGAGTATGAAAATGAACCAATAGTCTGAGATTTAAGAATAAAATGAAGTAATTTGATATGTCAGTATGAACACAAATAGCTAGGTTGTGTTCTTTTACATGACAGCAAACAAAGATTAAAACTAATTAAAATAGGATTTTGACCATGAAACAAACACCAAAACAACAGGGATGAGTAAAAGCAGGGGAACGTGTAAAGCTTATTGTTCTACCTCTCTGATGCTGAGTACAGGGCCCTGGGGTGTACAGGGACTTAGATTCTAATTTCAATTGATGTTTTCCTGCAGTTCTCACCAGTCTGACTTGTTTCTTGCAGCTGAGATAGAATGCCAATCCTTAAGACACCGAGACAAGCGGCTTAGTTTAAATCTGGTAAGTTTGACACTTGGGTTCCTTTAAGACTCAATTTAATCAAAAGTAGCCTGACTCATATATGATCCTTTTTTTTTCTTTTTCTTTTTTTGTGGTGCTAGGGATTGACCCCAGGGCCTTGTGCATGCGAGGGAAACTCTCTACCAACTGAGCTATATCCCCAGTCCAATATATGTTCCTTTCAATTCTTTTGATATTCAGCAATCTGAATCTCTGAGAACCTTTCTAGTCTCTCTTTAAGACTTGAACTGGTTTGGGAACTCCTGAACTCTGTGTTCCATAAGGGCTCTGATGTTTTAAATTAAAATATCATACCAAAAATATTTGTATGAATTCATAACTCTCAGTCTTCCACCATCAGATCTAGGAGATTATCACACATTAGGTCCAGAGGCAGATCTTTGGGTAGAGGCTTTTCTAACTTTCCTGAGGAAGTTCAGAGTCATTCTTGGGTAATCTGAAACTAAAACCATATGCAAAGCCTTGATGTCCACTGGTGGTGGTTTCCATGACCTGTTTTCTTGCAGCCCTGCAGGTTCTCCCTGATGTATCCCCCAGCTTCAACCAGTGCCGAAGACAGCTATGTGCCCATGAGCCCCCAGGCCATTGCCTCTGGTCTTGGACCCCATTGCAGCCAGGATGACTACATCCCTATGAGCTCAGGAAGCATCTCAAGCCCACTGCCTGAGCTACCTGCAGACTTAGAGCCTCCACCAGTGAATAGAGATCTCAAACCTCAGAGGAAACGTAAGGCACTTAAACAGGTCTGCTGTGTAAAAAAGGGGAGCAAGGTCCTTCCTAACTTTTCTTGGGAAGGAAGCACTAGAAAAACCATCTCAGAGAGCTGCAAAACATAAGGATATGAAAGAAATGGCTGGTATAGAATGGGGAGATTGGGGGCACCTGCTGCTGAAGATTGTCATGATAAAAGAAATCAGAGAAATTGTAGGTACTGTGGACCAGCAAATGCATCCTACAAAGCTAATTCATTCCAGAGAGCTCATCTTTGCCTGTTTCCCTAATAAAGTCCCAGGGATATGTGATGATGGGTCTGAATGGAACCCACCTGACATCTCCACATTCATGCAACACTAAATGTAATAACAGTACCAGCCTTATGGAAGGCAGCCAAGAATGACCTTTGACACCAATTCCTTAATATCCTTCATGGTCAAATATTATTTATCACTCACTGTTCTGTGTATGCCCATCAGCACAGGTAATTGGGGATGGGAGAGAACTTCTATAATTATCAGACTGACTCCTGTGTGCACAGGACACCTTGTAGCTCCTGTATGAATATAGCAGCCTCTCTGCTTTGCTCAGCAGCATGGACAGACAGAAAGATAGGAGATAGAAAGAGAAAAGGCAGGGTGAAGTAATTTCAGTCTTACCCACCCTCACCTTCCCAGTAGATTATGTGATTTTAAGAAATCATTCTGTGCAATCACTCTGAGGTCTGATATTCTATCTGGTCTGCTCATACCTTTCATTGCTTTTGAGTAAAACTATCACTTCAGGTGGCCATGCCCAAAGCTGCTAACTAAGGTTCCTACTCATGCCTTCTCTGTTCCAGTCAGACACACTTGAGTCTGAGTCAGACCACATTTGCACTTTTCACAGCATTGGCCATGGGTACAACACTGTGCCTGGGGAGGATGCAAAGATGAGAGGCAGATATGTAAAAACCATCTGGAGGGAAAAGCAGAATTATGAAGTCAGTACTAAATAGGAGAACAGACCCTGTCTTATGAGGTACAGAGGAAATAGCCTGTCCATTCTGGCCAGAAACAATTTCACAGGGACTTGTAACTTGAAAGTATGTATTATTGTTTTGCTCAATTAATTTTCTATAGCAGTGCCATTGACCAGAACTATCTGTGATAATGCAAACATTGCTATTGAACATTTGCAATGAGAATGGTGAGGCAGAGGAACTGAATTTTATTTTTATTAAATTTCAATAAATTTATATATATTGTGGTGTAAATAACCATGCATGGCTGCTGGTCACTATTTTCAGCAGTACAATCATATAGAGAATGGCAGAAAGAAGATGTTTGATAGGCTTAGGATTGGATATTTAGCAGGTAGGTGCAAAGATAGACAGCTGGGCCAGGAGGGGTTGGTTCTGGGATGAACTTTGCACCCAGGTGGGAAAGGGCAAGTGGTGAAGCCAGGAGATAGCTGGTTGGTGAACCCAATACCTAGGTGTCATGCTGCCAGGAGAGACCTTCCCCACAGGGACTTCATGACTCATGTAAACTTTCCAGCCCAGACCATTTGCTAGGTAGCAGTCCTTACTCACATGGAGTCAGAGAAGAGGAAGATGGTGAAATTCACAATCACTATCAGTGCTTTCTCTTGGCAAGTTTGGATCTGCTGTGCCAGGAAAACAAAATGTCATGGTTTTACACTCTTTGGATTATGGCTTTGAATTTCTAAGAACTAACCTTACTGTGTATTGTCTTGTAGCACGACCACCTCCCCTGGACCTGAGAAACCTCTCCACCATCCGGGAACACACATCTTTAACCAGGACCCACACCGTGCCTTGGTAAACCACTGATTGTTAAAGGAGCCCAGACATATCCAAACTTAATTAGGTTTCTTATTGTTGAAGCCCATTTGATCTTGCCTAAGCTAAAGGACAACCTGGTTTATTATCAAGAGCTAAAGATGATTTACGTATCACAAAGGAAGGAGTATGACTGAGTTTCTTGGGATATTGGAATCAGGAATTGGAGTGCTATTGAGAACTCAAGGCATCTTCTCTTTTCTCTCACATTTACCTCTCCATTCATATCTGCTTATCTCTTTGTCTTTGTAGAGCTATTTTCTTTGTTGCATAATTTCTATGGCTAAAGATAGTGGTACTATAGCCCCTGAGCTTATTTATATGCCTCAATTCCAGTGCTAACACAGATGAGCTCTTTATCAATATCAAGTCAGATTTTGTGAGAGGACAGAATTATGTTGCCCAGCCAAAGTGGAATCAGTTATGGCCCAGGGGGCAGAGCCAGTACTACCAGCTGAACTTCCAGAAGTTTAACTTTGTGAGTGGTTCACAGGTTGGATAGACAAGCTCAAAAATGTATCTGTACCTTTTATGAGTTGAATTTTCAGAGTCCTGAGGCTAGCCCTACGGTTTCCTAGTTCACTCTAAATGCCATAAGACAATCACTTTGTGAATCAGAATTGCACAGGGAGGTGTATTTCCAGGCAAAACTTCAGAGACAGCTTGTGCTTCTGACTCAGGAGTAGAATTGAAGGTGATTTACAGTTCTTGTTATCCTATCAAAAAGGAATGGCAACACTTTCTTACTTTTCCTAGTTTCTTTGGAAACAAAAGGGTCACAGAGAAGTATTTTTTGCAAAATGATATGATGCCTTGGTCTGTTTCTAGTAAGTTCATGACCTATGTCATATGGAGGTCCTGGGAAAAAGCAAGTGGGAGCCATTTGCTCCACAAGTGGGACAGAGCTGCTGCCACAGTCTCTGTTTCTTTAGGAACTGCTTGGGCCGGAAGGAAATTGTGTCTGGAAGGGGAAGACTGAAGCCCCATGGGGCCATGTCAGTTCCTGGCTGCCTTTCAGAGCAGCTGTAAGACATTGCTTTGACCTCATCTGTATTTTTCTTCTTAGCAATCGAACCAGCTTTCTCTCTCCAGAAAGAAATGGTATTAATCCTACAAGATTTTTTGCCAGTCCTGTTTCCAGAGAGGAGGAAGAAAACTACATCCAAATGGTAATCCTATATTTTCACATTCTTTTACTTATCCCAGTGTATATACTCTTGTGAGTTTATTATAAAGAAAACACATCCCTCAGAAATCTCTGCAAACATAAAACAATTACTTGATTGTAAAACCATGTCACAACTTTTCTAGATTGGAAACAAATCAATTTGAAGCTTTTTTTTTAAATCTCTGCAATATTCAGCTAATCATACTATTTTAAAGCCACACTATTCAGAAGAATGTAGGGTTCAGGTCTGTATTATGGGGAAAGGAAGATGCTAGCAATTTCTTTCACCAGGGATGTGGGTGTCATGGTTGAATCCAATAGGTTGGTTTGTGATCCCCTGGATGTCAGAGTCTAGGCTGTAAAATACAAATAGTACATGCTTCCTTTTATTAGAACACCTGCCTCCAAATCTTCCTGGTGTGTTGTAGCCCCTAGAGACTCTCCTCTATAGGGTATTTCCATAGTCCTGGGTGGATAGAGACCTGACATCTCTATCTTTTGATTAACCCCACAATTCAAGAGTTACAATGTCTCCCTTTTGCCCTATTGTCTCTTCTGTTCTCTTCACCTTGGGGTCTATTGAGAGTGTGGGGTTTTGAAGATGCTTTTAGTACCTCTGGCTATTAATGGACACTTTAATAACAATTGTGCCCATTCTGCAATTTGAAAATGTAGGGAACTCTAGAGAGAACTTTTATATGAACTATGAAATTAAAATGAATTATTGGTACATTATAATTATACATAACACTGTGATTCATTGTATTATATTCACACATGCACATAACATAATTTGCTCAATTTCATTCCCTAGTACTTTTTCTTTCCCTATCCTCCTCCCTACCCTGGGTCCCCTTCTTCTTCTCTATTGGTATCCATTCTATTTTCATGATATCCCTCTTTTCCCCTTTGTTTTTTCCCTATCTTCTCCATATGAAAGAAAACATATGACCCTTTAATTTCTGAGTATGGCTTATTTCTCTTACCATAATGTTCTCCAGTTCTATCCATTTTCCTGCAAATGACACAATTTCATTATTTTTATATAGCTGAGTAATATTCCATGGTGTATATACACCACATTTTCTTTATTCATTCATCTGTTGACAGGCACCTAGGATAATTCCATATCTTGATTATTATGGATTCTGCTGCTATGAACATTGGTATGCATATATCACTATATCATGCTGATTTTAGTTCTTTTGGATAAATACCCAGGAGTGGAGTAGCTGGATCAGATGGTAGTTTCATTCCTAGTCTACTGATGAATTTCTATATAGCTTTCCAGAGTGGTTATACTAGTTTGCAGCCCTACCAATAATGTAAGTGTACTAGTGTACCTTTTCCTCCACATTCTAACCTGAAATTATTATTTTTCTTCTTCCTCCTCCTCTTCCTCCTCTTCCTCCTTCTATTCTTTCTCTTCTTCTTCTTCCTCTTCTCCTCTTTCTTCTCCTCCTCCTTCAATTTAACCCAGGGGTACTTAAGCACTGAGCCATATCCTCAGCTCTTTTTTAAAAATATTTTTTAGTTGTAGATGGACACAATATCTTTATTTATTTTTATGTGGTGCCGAGAATTGAAAACCAGTCATTGCCTCACACATGCAAGGCAAGCACTCTACCACTGAGCCACAACCCCAGCCCTTCTCAGCCCTTTTTATTATATTTTATTTTGAGACAGAGTCTCAGTTACTAAGGACCTTATTAAGTTGCTGTGGCTAGCTTTGAACTTGTGATCCCCCTAATCTCAGCCCCTTGGGTTACAGGCATGTGCCACCATGCCCAGCTTGTTATTTGTATTCTTGATGATCGCCATTCTAAGTGGTTTTATTTTCTAAGCTTTAGGAGTCTTACTGAGGAAGTCAGTGCCTGTACCCATATCTTGGAGTATTGACCCTGTGTTTTCTTCTAACATTTGCAGGGTTTCTGATCTAATTCCTGTCTTTGAATCACTTTGAGTTGACTTTTATGCAGGGTGACAGGTATGGATCTAATATCATTTTTCCATATATACATATCTGGCTTTCCCAGCATTTGCTAAGAAAGCTGTTTTTTTTTTCTCTACTGTATGTTTTTGGCTTCTTTGTCAGGATCAGATAACTTCATCTGTGTGGGTTTGTCTCTGAAACTTCTATTCTATTCCATTGATCTACATGCATGTTTTTATTCCAGAACCATGCAATTTTCATTACTTATAGCTCTCTAGTATAATTTCAAGCTGGGAAATATGTTGCCTGAAGCATTCATCATACTGCTCAGAATTACTTTGACCATTCTGGGACTTTTATTCTTCCATATGAACTTTTTTTTGTTGTTTTTGGTACCAGGGATTGAACCCAAGGGTGCTTAACCACAGTGCTACATCCCCAGCTCTTTTTATTTTTTATTTTGAGACAGCATCTCAAAGTTGCTTTGGGCCTTGCTAAGCTGCTGAGGCTGGCTTTGAACTTGCAATTCTCCTGCCTCAGCCTCCTGAGCCACTAGGATTATAGGCATGCACCACTGCAACCAGCTTCCATATGAATTTATTTTTAAATATATTTTAATTGCAGACAGACACAATACCTTTATTTATTTATTTATTTTCATGTGGTTCTGAGGATTGAACCCAGGGCCTAACATTTGCTAGGCAAGTGCTCTACTGCTGAGCCTGCATATGAATTTAAAGACTATTTTTCCTAGTTCTGTTGAAGAATGCCATTAGTATCTTGATGGAGATTGGACTGAATCTATATATCACTTTTGGTAATAGGTTCATTTTAATAATATTAATTCTGCCTATCCAAGAGCATGAGAGATTTTTCAGTATCCTCACATCTTCTTCAATTTCTTTCTTCCATGTTCTATAATATTCATTGTAGAGGTATTTTGCCTTCTTGTTAGAATCATTCTGAAGTATTTTTTTGAGGCTATTGTGAATGGAATTGTTTTCCTGATTTCTTTCTCAGCAGATTCATTACTGGAGTATAAGAAAGATGTTATTTTGTATCCTGCTACTTTATTGAGTTTCTTTAGCAGCTGTAGAAGTCTTCTGATAGAATTTCTTGTGGCAAAAGTCTACAATCATTTCATCTGTAAACAGTGATAATTTGATATGTTAACTTTTTGTTGCTCAGACCAAAATACCTGACAAGGACAACTTAGAAGAAGAAAAGTTTATTTCAGCTTGTGGTTTCAGAGGTTCAGTCCATGGTTGAGTGATTTCATTGCTCTGGGTCCAAGGTAAGGCAGGACCTCATGGTAGAAGAGTGTGGCACAGTACTGTGGCTCTGCTTGTGGTGGCCAGAAAGCAGAGAGAGTGGGTAAGGGGAAGCAGAGAAGACACAACTTTTTAAGGTGTTCTAGTCATCTTTTTTACTGCTGTGACCAAAAGTACCAAAAAGAACAGTGTAGAGGAGGAAACATTTATTTGGGGCTCACAATTTCAGAGGTCTGAGTCCATAGATGGCTGATTGTTGCTCTGGGCTGAGAGCATCATGGCAGAAGAGTGTGGTGGAGCAAAGCTGCTCAAAACATGGCAACCAGGAAATAGAGAGATCTTCTCACCATGGACAAAATGCCCTAAAGGCACTCTCCCAGGGACCCACCTCCTCTATCCACACCCTATGTCCTTAACAGATACCACCCAGGTAATCCCTATCAGTGGATTAATTTACTGATTAGGTTAAAGCTGTTGTGACCTAATCATTTCACCTCTAAACCTTCTTGCATTGTCCTACATATGAGCTTTGAGGGGGGAACGTTTCATATGTAAACCATTTCATAGGACATACCCCCAGTGACCTACCTCCTCTAGCCACACCCTACCTGCTTGCAGTTACCATCCAGTTACTTCATTCAAACTAGGATGGACTGATTAGGCTACAGCTCTCATAATCTAATCATTTCACCTCTAAATATTCCTGCATTATTAATATCAGGAGCTTTGGGGAGACATCTCATATTCAAGCCATAGCATTTGAATTCTTCCTTTCCTATTTGTTTCCTTTTACTTCCTTCTCTTGCCTAAGTATTCTGGCTAAAACTTCAAGTACTATATTGAATATAAGTGGTGATGGTAGACATCCTTGTCTTGTCCCAGATTTTAAAGAAAATGCTGTCAGTTTTTTTCCCATTCATTATGATATTGGCTTTGGGTTTTTCATTTATAGCTTTTATGATATTGAGGTAAGTTTTTTCTATCCCTAGTTTCTTCATTGATTTTATCATGAATTGTTACTGAATTTTGTAAAAGACTTTTTGTGAATCTATTGCGATGATCATGTGATTTTTGTCCTTAATTCTATTTATGTAATGAATTACACATATTGATTTGCATATGACAAATCTTCTTTTCATCCCTGGGATAAAACCAACTTGATTATGGTATAAGATCTTCTTAATGTGTTTTTGGAAGCAGGTTGCTAATATTTTATTAAGGATATTTGTGTCTATGTTCATCAGGAGTACTGGTCTGTAGTTTTCTTTACTTGATGTATTTTTAATGGGATTTCATATTAGGGTGAAACTGATTTGATAGAATGAATTTGGAAATGTTCCCTCTTTTTCTAATTCATGGAATAGTAACAGTAGGATTCACATTAGCTCCTTTTAAAGGTTTTATAGAACTCAGCTGAGAATCTATCTGGTCCCAGATTTTCTTTGTTGGGAGATATTTTTTATTACTGTGTCAATCTTATTTTTTGATATTTCTCTGTTTAGGTTTTGTGTATCCTCTCAGTTCAATTTGGGTAGGTCTTATGTGTCTAGAAATTTGTTAGTAGCTTTTACATTTTCACATCATTTTAAGCTTTCACCACTTTCCCCCTTTCTCTGTCTCTGATGGAGAGTGCTGGGACTTTTTTCCACATTATTTCAGCTCACCGTATCTGAGCTTATTTTCTGCTCAAACTTTAAGGTTGTTTTTTTTTTTTTTTGACAGCATAACCTGTTTATGTGTGTGTGTGTGTGTGTGTGTGTGTGTGTGGTGCTGGAAATTGAACCTAGGGCCTTGTGC